GGCCCCCCCCCCGACCCGCCCCCCCCCCCCCCCCCCCAGAGTGGCCCACTACCAGTCACACCTTTCCCCCGCTAGAGTTGCCTGTTGCCAGACACACTTTTTCCTCTCTGGAGTGCCCCACTGCCAGACTAGCCTCAAGCTATCATAATTACTAACTGCTTATTACACCTCTGCTCCAACAGCTGTTGGGTGTTCCCAATTACCCAACTGCCAGCATTCTGGAAGCAGAGTACACCAGCCACCCAATACCAAGAGCACATCCTGCCAGGCATTCCACCAGTCATGCATCTCATTGGGAATCTCACCATCCACCAAGCTCAGCAACGGATGAACCTAACAGAGCCAAACCACCTATATCAACAACCTTCTTCCCCCACCTTGCTGGAGCGGCCAACCGCTGCACTTACGTGAGCTTCCTCAGGCAATTCATAGTGAACAATCCCACAGATCGATCGGGATAGTTGAAGTCTAATAACTCCAAGGCAGTGAGGACAGGCAACTCCGGCCACATCTGCAGTAAATACACCATCTAAAAAGGAAAACATAAAATGTTATCAATTGCAACGATTCTTCCCAGGTGTAACTTAACCTGTGTCTCCAACATCACTTCTCTGTACCTGTGCTACGTCCTCGTGTTTGTTCCACTTGGTGGTGAGCAGCAGCTTGGGCAGGGCCTCCGGGTGGCGTTCTTTAATTTCATGACGCAGCTTCCAGACCAGCTCCTTCTCATGTTCGTACAGCTCAGCTTGGCCCTTCCGTTCCACAATCTCCTGGAGCTGCTGCCGCTGTAGAGGGGTGAGGAAAGGGCAGACGCCTGACATGTGTCATCTCATAACAGCGACCCAGATCTCAGAATACAGCCGCACATGGGGGAGCTTCACATGGAGCGCAGAGCACAGCATGCACCTCCGCCACATGGCCAGGAATCATTACTAATAATATTGATGTTCAACACAAAGGAGCTCCAATTAAAGACATTCTCACAGGTCTGACCTGCGAAAACAATAGAGCCAGTCCGTCCCCATGCAGACTCTCCATAAAGCTGCCCTGAAGTCTGTTTTCAAACAGTTATTACAGCCGATAGTGTGGAACACCTTTGTGCAGACAGTGCTTAGTCCTATACAAGCTATATAGCCAAAGACCTTATCACTTCCCCATCCCAAAACCATTTCTCTGTACCCTAACAATTGTGAAATCCATTTGACCTTACTGCAAAGTCCTAACGTATGCATCCATCAACATCAGTGCATGAAACATGACACTACCAGAGCTGTTAATGAAGCAATGCAGGTGTAAATTAAAACATCAGACTTTTGGAAGTGCTACTGATGCTCAACCTAAGTGGACCATTCATAATCTCAATTATACGATCACATATATGTCAAAACCTAGTTGTATAATGACAGGCATCCTCCATGACCACAGTTCAACATCATACTCCCCCTGAAATGTGATGGGAGACAACGTGACACAATGGCTGCTGAGGTTTCTGGCATGTTAATAATGTCTCCCCCCTTGACAGCAGTGTGCAGTATAATAAAACTGGACTAGCTCACAGTGCTGGCTTTCTGGACAGGAAGACAGATCCAGGTATTCATTCTAGCCGTTTCATTGGTCTTCAGGTTGGGGTAGCTTTGACTTCACACAGTTCATGTTGGGTATGGGTTATTTACACCCCTGCGAGGCTACAGAGTATTTTGCATGCTGCAGTGCCCGGTGTCCCCACATTTATGCACCTAAACCTGTAAAGAAGACCCTACACTACACGCCTGTGTTCAACACTGCACCTTTGTATGACCAGGGAGGGGGGGGGGGGGGGCTCAAAATTCTTCTCAGAGTTTAGCTCCATTTATTTGGAAGGTAGGGGAAGACAGACACGGGGAACATGCAACAAGGTTTACAAACAATTGGCATTAGCAGTTACCTCGTCCTGAGTGGCGTTTGATACTTCACCAAGACGGCCCAAATCGAGAATCTGAAGGGAAAAAAACTTGGATGTGTTCGAAAGTTTTGGAAGCTGAAGTGTTCACATTTACCCTTTGTGCAGCATGCAGGTTGCAGGGAGGCTTATCACAAGATTGACAGGAAAGCTTAGAGGGTGACCGGTAGGTTTACAAAGTGAAAGATAGGCTTAGAAAGTGACAGGTTGGATAAGATGGTGATCGGTGGCTTAAAGGGTGATGGGTAGCCTAACAGGGTGATTGGTGGGCCTGGATGGTGATGGGAAGGCTCACATGGTGATGGGTAGCCTTGACAGCAAGGCTTAGAGGGTGATGGGTAGCCGTAGAGGGGGATGACAGGTAGCCGTAGAGGGGGATGACAGGTAGCCGTAGAGTGAGGGTAATGCAGAGAGTTCCAGGAATCAAGGATGTAATTCATTTTGCCAGGGACCCGTTCAAAGTAAAATATTGTTTACAGAACAACCAGACTTCTGATCAGTTATGAAATATCCTCATTCCGGTGGCCTATTCATTTTCAGCTGGAACCCGATTACTGAATGAACACCGCTCTTAAAATGTTACCACTGTGATCCCAGGATCCCAACACTGACCCCAATATCGTCCTGTCTCATACCTTGTCAATGGTGGGATAGTAGACGGGATAGTCAGACATGTTGATGAAACTGATCAGCAATGTGGCTGCGCTCTCAGTATTGGGATTACACTGTACGGTTCCCATCGGATTCAGTAGTTCTGCCTTCTCATCTAGATAGGAAAAAAACAATCACATAAAAGGGGTTTTCTCCATGGAGAAATGCTTCACTGAACACCACGGGGCACCGATATATCTGCTCAAATCTGATCTCCGGGCAAACCACTAAAATACACATATGTAAAGTGCCTTACCTGCTGATGGATTTGTAATCCTGTCCAGAAACGTTTGCGATTAATACACCTCTGCCAGATATTACAACCAGGAGGATGACACCACTTTCCTTGTACTGGGTAAGGATAGAGTGGTGTCACCTCCCTGCCCACAATGTGCTGATTGACAACGAAGGAGCAAAATCTTACCGATAAGTCATCACCTCTGCTCACTTCGCTGTCTCCTCCTGTAGCAGAGAAACATCAGGTGTCCTTCCCTGCCAGACAGGTATGTGCTTTGTGGCAAAGTTGTGTTAAACTCAGGACCGGATAGACAGAAATACAACTCCCCTGGCAAGTAAACCGGCCCCCATGTACTGCATGTACCTCAATTGCATATTTAGTCATTTGCCAGGAGTTTAGCTTAAAGCGGTCATCTTGCAGCCATCCATTTTGTTGCCTTACCTGGAAAAGACGACCACATACAGAGCGAGTACTCGCCGCACTTCAGCATGTCCTTATAATTAAACAGCATGGTGTTCACCCAGGCGATGGGGTAATCCTGGCCGGAGGAATGACAAAACTATTACTAAAAGTACACTATGGAGATGGTGGCTGGAAAAGCACATCCGACACCCACCTTCTTGGACTTCTTTTTAGTAGACTTGGCTTTCTTCGACTTGTCGACAGCATAGAGAGCCAGGCTGAGCCTCGTCATGCGAGGAAGGTCACACACGTTGACTTCAAACTCCAACGTCTGCTGCCACTGAGGCTCGGAAGAAGCGTTCACCTCGTTGCTAGCCACGGTCTTGCATAGAAGCTCACTGCCGTGGTAGAGGCCACAGTACACCAACAGCTGCAGGAGACATAAAAATGCGGGTGACACAACAGACCACAGGAGAGACCAGCAATGTGTTCTGGGAGACTGAGGTGTCCATGCAAACATGGAGGGCAACACGGAGGAGGAGCTAGTCACAGACATTGTATGGCAGTCAGCCAGACATGACACAGAAACTAAAATGTCTACACCAAGGAAGGAGTAAAAGGGAGGAGAGCAGGTGGACACCCAGAGAGCAAAGAAGTTCCCGGTCACACACATTTTGGTTTGGGTATAGGTTGCCATGCTAGTGCAGAGATTTTGCATTATGATGACAAAGCTATGCAACACAAAGAGCGCGGTTCTCTTCCAATGGGTGCGCAAGTGTGTATTTATGACATGCGTATCATCCTCAGGCAGCAGGACCAGAAATCTAGCACTGGCATCAATGACAGCGAGTGTGTTACCAGCGCTGAACCTTTGTCTCTGGATGGTGATGTAACCTATAAAATTGTTTCACTCTAAAGTGGAGCGTTATATTGGCTGGACTAAACAAAGTCACAGGTGGACAATTAGGTCCGGGGTACGTGCAAAACCCAAGATCAAACTTAAGACACTGCGACAGTGGTAACCTGCACAAGAACATTGTAGAGCTGCAATAGTGAGTAGACTCCCTGTGAAGCCTTCTGCCAAGCAAACCTATGACATTCCTTCTTCCTGGCAAAGTACAGGTTCTCTTTAATGCTTCCCCCTTCACGAGCAAGGGAAACTATTTAGTGATATAGACCCTTCTCAGTTCATTAACCTCCCCAGGAGAGCTGCAGCTGGTTTGAAGTCTTTGACCTTACCTGAGATCAAGATGACTGGGATGAGAGAGGATTGGGTTGCAATCAATACAGATCTATAGAAGACCTTCCTCTTACAATTCTTCCACTGCATTGGCTAACTTCATATAAGGGTTCAGACCTCAAACAGCCCTTTGTGGGGTTCCTTACAACAATCACAACTTTGCTCTCTGCTTCTGACTCTATTATGCGCAAGCGACATCCATTCAGCCACCCATCCCCTTTACCTTCAACCCTTCATCCGCATTAACGTTGTATCCATACAAGAGCTGAAAACAAAATGGCTTCTCCAGGCTCCACAGGGAACACTGATGTGGCTGGGGAGAGCAGGAAAAATTCCATCAGAGGATCCCAAAGGACTGTTTACAATTGTGTTTATAAACTAACACATAGCTGCCGATTGTAGATCTTTACCTTTTTAGTAGGTAGCGGAGGAGGTTTGTGCCGAGTTTTTGGGCAAAGGATTGTGGGATCTCCCTGTTTGTCCGGTAACGTGGAAGAGGTGGTGACCAGGGTAAGGTGAGCAGTCCAATTGTTCTTCAAACACTGGCTGATGTACTGCAAGATGTCAGAATGATTAGCAGGAAGTACAGGGCAGGTCTAGGAAAGCAGACAAGTGAGCACACTTACTTTGAACTGGCATAGGGGGTAGTTGCCGTAGATGTATTCCAGCATGCCATTGATCTGTAGGGTGTACTCCTCTGGAGCCCCCGGACAGCGCTGCCCGGATACATTGGACTTTTTCCGTAGTGCCATTCGGATGATGGAGATGGGAAGGTCTCGGGGAGAGACTTGTAAGGTGAAAGTTTCCTGCAGACAGACAACAGAAAGAGTGTAGGTGGCAAACGATTGTAAGATAAAAAGGATATTGAGCATTGAAGAAGCATATTGGTTGAACTCCTTGATAATGAACCTTCTTGCAATGGTGGGCCTGTGATTTTTGTGGTGCTAAGGGGTAAAGTCACAAGCCTGGGCAATTCAAACTGAACTTATGTAAAAACACTTAGCGCCTCTGCTACATCGTCCAGTCCCTTTGCCCACATTGTCCAACCACAAGTACTTGGTGCTTCAGTTTATGAGGTGGCAGGGGGTCATGTAACCCTCTCCCTGGGTACTGTGCTCATCCCTGAATGGCCAGTCTCCAGGCCTGGACACCGTCAAAGGAGGAGAACAATGTCAGGAACCTTTAGTAAGTTGCGACACCAATCCAACAGAGTAGAAGGAAAGTACAACCTGAATGGGCAAAGTGACAGAGTCTCTTTAAAGGAGAACTCACCTCACTCACCTCATAGTTCTAGCCGACCTGTGGCAATGAGACTGTCACAGGTCGGCTCAGTAGATCGGGAGGTGAGCGAACACATGCCGGTGCTCGCTCTTGTGCCCGGCTCTCTGCCGTGACAGGGGAGGGGCTGGAGTCCCCCCCTCCCCGCTCCGATCCGCCAGCGCTGACTGGCAGAACGGACGGGGGAGGGGGCGGGTACAGCTGGCTCTGCCTTTAGATAGGCAGAGCCAGCTGTCACTCACGCAGTTGGGCGGATCTCGACATCGATGTCGGGATCCGCTGCGGCGTCTCAGTATACCGTGAGCTGTTGCTCGCGGTATACTGAGCTTTGGGTGACGGGAGGACGCTAGTTTATGTCCTCCCGTTACCCTAAGAAGAACTATGGGGAAAAGCCCTAACCCCATAGTTCTCCTTTAAGTGGCCGTCCATACTTGTCCTAAAATAGAGAGCCACATCATAGCTTGCAGACAGCGGTTTCTGGCTTGTAGGCCCTCGACAGTGCAAGATATGTAAACGGATATACCTACATTACGATTTAAGGCTTGCCTAATCCTATTATTTTATAAACTTGAAGCCCTCCCCCAGTAAAAGACAGTATAACAATCACAACATATAGGAGGACCATGGGTCTTACCTCGCTATTCTGAAACTTAACGTTGATCATGATGGTCTTGCTGGAGGAAGGTTTGATGAACAGGGTGGTGGATGGTTCTAGCTGCAGAGGGAAATTCGATTCCATCCAGCTCTCCCAGTTCATGCTCTGGCGCCGCGACGCTACCTGCTCGCAGAATTGGCGCATTTTGGTGCGGAAATCGTTCACCTCCGGGTCGTTTAAAGAGTCAAAATCATGGAGACCTGAGAGATTGTAAAAAGGAGCAGGAGAAGGGCAAGGATAAGCACAGTGGTTGTAATTGTTCAATGAGACGGCACACAATCCAGGTATATATACACATACTATATTGCCAAACGTATTGGGCCCCTCCCCCTCCAAATCATTGGATTCAGGTGTTTCAATCACTGGAACTTGACTGGACTGACCTCAACCCCATAGAACACCTTTGGGATGAATTGGAGCGGAGACTGCGAGCCCGGCCTTCTCCAACATCAGTACCTGACCTCACAAATGGTCCAACATTCCCATAGACACACTCCTAAACCTTGTGGACGCCTTCCCAGAAGCTGTTATAGCTGCAAAAGGCGTAGCCAACCCAATATTGAACCCTGCGGACTAAGACTGGGATGCCATTAAAGTTCACGTGCGTGTACAGGCGTCCCAATACTTTTGGCAATATAGTGTACATAGTATAGATTTGTCTCTATTTAGGTGCTGATGAGCAGCATTGCTTTTATCGCCATCCCGCCCGTTTCCCAGCTCACCCCGACTCTTTATGTTGTGTCACCGAGACAGGAAGTGTCAGAGACAGGCACATCAATAACAGGTTCACTTAATACTTTAATAGACTAGGGAAGGAACAGAATCTCTGTCAGGGTTAGGGATGAGTCAGGGCATTATAAGCGACAGCCATTTTTTTGGAGACCAGTGATGTTTAAAAGGTGCATAAGAATCTATGATGTTCATCAATGAGGAGAAAGCGGTCTGCTAAGTTTGCTACCATTGGCTGGTGTGAGTGGATGATCTACACAATGCAAGTACACATAGTTTGTGTCCTCCCGTTACCTTAAGGAGAACTATGGGGAAAATACTTAACCCCATAGTTCTCCTTGAAGAATTAGGCTGCTACATCAACACAGACAGTTTTCATTTCAGGCACATTCATACATTACACCCAGTACAGCCTAAATCCCCTCCCCACCTCCATTGCTCACCCTTGTTAATGAGTAGGCTGATTTGGGAGTTGAGAAGCTTCTCGGCTCGGTCACCCTCCCTGGCCACAAGCCTCAGGACCGGTAGGAAAGGTTGAATGTCGCACAGTCGCCTCTGCTCGTCCTCCAGCTCTTGCTGCTCCGCCGTCTGGTTGATGCAGGTGAAGACGTAAGAGGACGGGGACCCCAGTGTGTGGAATAGTGGCTCCTGCTGTGCCCGCTGCCATAGTATCTGCAGATAAGACCAAAATTATGGACAGAGGAAACAAATTTAGACGGTGACAGAGGAAAAAAATTAAATGATGATGGTTACACCAAGAGAAAAGCCGAAATCTAAAATGAAACTCTACAGCTTTATTATACAATAGGGTAAGGAGGAGCAGAAAAGACTGACAGCTGACTGCCTGGCATTACTTACTTTAGCCCTAACATCAGAATGGCCCATTTACCTTCTTAATATTTCCAAGACTGGCATTGCGTGACACAGGGAAGTTGAGGTAAATGCCCGTGGGGAGCAGGAAGTCCACCGAGATGTCCCGATTCTCCTCCTTGGCCCAGAAGTCCACTGGGCAGTAAACTCCGGGCGGCATCCTGCCCTCTGGCTACCGCCCCACCGGCCCTGCAAAGAAACAACATGGGCTCTATTACCAAGCTTATTCCAGCTCCCTTCCCAACCCCCTGCCAGCTGTATATATGAGAACAAGATAATGGGGTACAGAAGTCTACCAAACCAACATCCATCACACTCTTCACATATAAAATCTGTCACTTTGCTCAGTCAGAACACAGTTGATGAACGTGGGAAGATTTCCAGCACGCAGGTTAGCTTTGTGAAGGGCAGGCCAGCCATTGACTTTTTGCTAGAAAGGCAATATTTGACTATTAGGGCATACCGGGTCTCCGGGGGAGCTTGTGAAAGGAAGGAAAGGTGTTCTGGTATCTGCACTTTATCAGGACTGTCATACTGCAATTTGTTTTCCAGTGAGAAGGTCAATGTGGACAGAAACAGCTCTTAATTAAGTTATTTTTAAATTGTGATGTATCTTTGGAGGTAACTATGGGACCGGCTGGAGCACATCTATGGCGACCCCTGGAGCACACCTATGGGGACCGGCTGGAGCACACCTATGGGGACCGGCTGGAGCACACCTATGGCGCCCCCTGGAGCACACCTATGGCGCCCCCTGGAGCACACCTATGGCGCCCCCTGGGGCATCCTCCTCCTTGGTTTGTGAAGCAGAGAATCGCTGACCCACTACAAGTACAGTCAGTGTAGATAGAACTCCTGATCTGTAGTCTGATGCAAAGTTGTGAAGTTTTCCACCCTAGCACAGGTAAAGGCCCAGGGGCTACAAAAAAAACACCACCCAGAATGTTGCCCAGTAACTCAGAGCTGCAAATTCCCTGGACAGCATAAATCTCCATGCACCTGTCTGTAGAAGTTCCAGTCCGGCAGTCCGTGTAGCTCCGGGATGGATGCACATAGCTCAGTATTATGTGGTACTCTACACGCAGGTAATGGTTCCCCTTCAGTTAATATTGATGGACATTCTCATACAACAGAACTAATGGGCCATCACAAGTCCAGTCTACACATTAACATACGTCAATGCCCATGTGATCCAGCTCTGTGAAGAGTCTTCTGAAGGCTCAAACATTCAATTTTTCACGATCTGGCCTTTGTTTACAGCCACGGATGTTTTCGAGGAACGAACCGGTCAGACCTGTTCATGGCAGGCGGCAAAAGGTGAATTCCTGACGGAAACTGAAACTTGCTGCTGGTATGTAAAACTACAAGTCTTGTAACTGATGAATTTCTGGAAGGGGAGTCAGCTTGGAGGAGGTGCGTTCCCAAACGGTCACAATGACTTCCCCCGACAGGTGTAGATATACAATAATTAAAGGGTACCTGTCACAGGAAGAGTCCTGGGGTTTGCTGATGCTTTGCGAAAGCCAGCACACTGGTCACCATGCTGGCTTCAGTAGCGTCCAAGTCACTGAACCCATGCAGGTATGCAGCGTAAGAATTCAGATGAAGTCATTTGTCCTTCCCCTGCATATCTTCACATCAGGGACTCTGAACGGATTACAAACCAGAAAAACAGCATGGCAGCCAGAGACTAGTTTTCGGAAGGAGGTCAGAAATGACAGGTTTCCTTAAAGGTCTGAGTAAGGCCTCCTCTCACTCCGCCAGTAATGCTAAATCTTATAGTCTAACCTAATACTTATATAATCCTGAACCTCAACCTAACCCCTTACCCTTTAGGCAGCTTGGTTAGGAGAACAGGATGGGGGGCTACCATTGCTGCCATTTTCTGAAGGCTCCATCTCCATATTTGTTCCAAGACAGAGACCCAGAAAGCAAATGAAGCCAAAGCATCAGCATGACAGCCAGGGAAAGAACCTCAAAACTAGAGGTCAGCAATGGCAGCCCCCATACATTTCTCATGACAGAGTCACTTTAAGCTTCCACTTTGGCCTAAACCCAAACCTAATTTCAAGGCTCACCTATGACATTGGTAAAATTACAAGTACAATGGAAATAATATTAAAGGAAATACTTATTTCCTACGCTCCATCTAGTGGCCACAATGCAGTGTTGCATCACAATACATTCGGCCTGAAAAGAAAACATTAAAGTGGACCCTTACACATATCTTTAAAATAACAAAAGCACACCTTTAGTGGGTCGCCGGGTGCCTTACACTTTTTTTTAGGCAAAAGGCTCCTCAGCCTCCCCCTAGTGCAACACTGTCAGTTCTCGCACCAAGCAGCATTCAAAATATGCTGCCCGGTGCTGAGTGTCAGCTTGAGATGGGATGGGGCTATGACCCTGAGGGCGCTCCATCCATACGTGCATTGCTTACAGCTCCCTCACGTGACCTGTACTGGTGCCTGGACGGGAGTGATGTCACATTCCGGCTCCCGGCACCTCTACAGGGCACACAATGGAGCTGTACCAGCAATGCACATATGGATGGATCTCTATCACAGCACAGAAGTCCACACTGGACCCCAGGCTGAGGATCCTCTCCAGTTCTCGTAAATTAGGGAGACTGGGTGGATCTTAAAAAAGAAAACCATAAAAAAAATGGTTTTGGAGTGTATAGGCGAGAGTGCGAGATTGCGTCTGTGGTTGCGAGTGTCTCTCAGTGTTTTTGAGGGCCTGTTCACACTAGTACACTGCGTTTAATCACACAGTTCCATGCGATCACCTACTGTGCATTCTGGTGCAGGAGGTGCTTTCCGTTCCATTGCAGTGCGACTTGGGTCACGACCTAATGACCGAGGACAAAATGTGGGTCCTGACGTTACACAGGTTGAGAATCACTGATCTAGAGGACTTTCTTTAAGCAATCCTTCAAATTGTGCCGGCCGCCATGCAGACAATGGGATATATGAGCAGCACGCAAGCAAAGCCGTAAAACGTCACATCGATAAACGGCCTTCATGTAGTAATCTGAACACCCTGAAAATTTGATATTTTCCTCTTCTATTCTGTGTCAATCTATTTTAATAACCCAATAACCCCCCGTGGCTTTCCCAGCAGCTATCTGCGGCCTTATGAGAAATGTTTCAGTGCTCAGAAGACGTCTTCCCCTGGCTGTTCAGCATTCCTGACATTACAGTC